CTCTAAGAGCACCCTAAATGTGAAAGTAAGTATTAAAAAAGCCTGTTAGGACTTTATTAATATAAAATAGATTTTTAAAAATGTTATTATTGTTGAGGAAGAGAGGCACTGCATAATACTAAAGAATACCACCAGTAAAAATTAAAGTCTAAATTTTTACTTCCCTTATTAACAAGAGCTAAAATACAGTCTACGTTTAAAAAGCAAGTCAGTAAAAGAATTTTTAAAATCTCTACACTTCATTGGTTGGATAAAAAAATTAGGAATGGAACAAGTTTGGACAATACAATCAGTCAAGTTTTTCTAATAAACATATATTGACTCCAGAACCCAAGACCTGTATAAATCCCCCTTTTTTTCAGGCAGATGGATGTCATTTATGAAAAGAAATAGCTGGTCAGAAAACAGGTTTCAAAATAGGTCTGAAGAGTTGCTATAATCCAGTCCACAGTACAAAAACGTGAGAAATCACTAATTAAAAAACAACTATGCACTCAAAAATTTAAAGATTTACCCTTAATTATTATAAAAGAAACAGGGCAAAATTTTATGCTTTTATTTGAGATTACTAAACATGGATAAAAATTTTTGCTGTTTTAAACTTATTTGTTGGACTACATTGACATCTGTGCTGTGCCAAGTGCCATATTCAGCAAGTTGGAAGGGATTATAGGGTTTCAGAAGAAGGAGCGTGTTTATTAGCCATTACGCTGGAAGGGAGCTCGGGAGGTCTAGTCCACAAGGAGACGTACTGCTAACCCCAAAAAAGATACTTCTCGGAAGGTTTGGATGCATCTGCAGCTCCAAGGGAGAAAGATGGGGAAAGCCCACCCTCACCTCTGTGAGCTTCACAGCCTTGGAAACCCACCGCAGGGTCAGCACTGAGTCGGCTCTGACTTGATGGCAACATAACCTTTCTTTGGTTTGTTTTATTAAGTTGGGGTCAATAATGTGCGTGTGTGTGTACCGTCAAATCGGATCTGACTGGTACAGGAGGAGATTGTCCCTCCTTCCCCGGCAGAGCATCTGGTGGATTCAAACCGTGAGCCTCTGGGATTGTAGTTACAGCTCCTTGCCACTAGGCCATCAGAGCTCCCTGGGGTCAATAATTTTTATGGAAGTCTTAAGTTAGGGTAGTCATCCATTTTACTAAAATGGATGGCTAGGAAAACAAACAGATTTGTTCTGGAAAGGGTTAAACCGGGTGGCTCCTTGGAGGCAAGGATTCTGAGGCTCTGTCTAACATACTTTGGACATGTTGTGAGGAGAGACCGGTCCTTGGAGAAGGACATCATGCTTGGGAGGGTGGAGGGACAGCGCAGGAGAGGAAGGCCCTCTATGAGGTGGATTGATTCAGTGACTGGGATAATCGGATGGGAGTGTCAGAGACAGTGCGATTGGCACAGGACAGAGCAGAGTTTAGGGCTGTTGTACATAGGGTTGCTATGAGTCGCAAGCGAATCGCTGGCACATAACAACAACAACAACATAGACAAGTATTTTTAAATTAAACTGTTAAAAGTAAAGAAATTAATCTGGATAGGTGAATTTTTATGTATTTTACAGTAAATTAATACTGTCATCTCAATGACTTAATAGCAGATTTTTTTTTGTAATTTTTTTTCTTTTTTGCAAAAAAATAACTGCAACAAGTCCAATATGGGCCATGGAGGCTCTACAGAACCACTCAAAGATACAGGATGATGGATTCAGCACCATCTGCACATGTGCCTGTCAGGGACACTGTGACAGGGGACAAGAGTCTGCTGGCTAGAACTGGTCATAGGGCCCTAATCTAATTGCAAAGGAAGCAACAAAATATAGATAAAACACACACCTATGTTCATTTTTACTTTGTTCACAATAGCAAAGAGTTGGAAACAACCCAAGTGCCCATCACCAGATGAATGGATAGAAGAAGCTCTGGTATTTTCACACAACAGAATACTATGCAGCATTGAAAAAAAAACCAATGAATTCATGAAATATTATAGAAAATGGGTGACCCTGAAGGACATTATGCTGAGTGAAATATGTCAGTCACAAAAAAAGAAAAATATGGCATAATGACACTGTTACAAGAGGACTGACATGATTAGATATTATTATTGACAGGAGTCCAGAACTAAGGTAGCATCGTGGAGTGGACTTGGGGGGAGGGACTGAATAACAATGAAAGAATTTTTTTCTTTTATTTTTCAAAAAGAAAAGCAAATTGAGGGGGTCGTGGACAGGGAGAAAAGTGTAACAATGAATGAATGGAAATCCAAAGTCTCTGTAAACTTTCATGAAAATCAATTTAAAATATATATGTATATATATAAATTTTAAAAATATATTTTAAAAATGTAGAAAAACATGTTGCGGTGTGCAGTTGAGTCAGAACCAACCCATAGCTGACCCTCCAGCAGGTTTTCAGAGGTTGTGAATCAGACATCCTTCTCCCACAGAGCAACTGGAAGATTAGAACCAGATGCCTTTGGGACTGCAGTGCAGTTTCTTACTGTGAAAGAGAAGAATACCCTCAGTGAGATGGATAGACGCAGTGATTGTAACAATGGCCTCAAGTAAATAAGAGATTATGACGATGGAACAGGGCAGGCAAGGCTCAGGGCTGCTGTTCACAGAGCTGCTGTAAACTGACTGGATGGCGTCCAACAGCAGCAACAATTTAATCTATATCTGGATAGGTGAACAGGACCTTGGATTAAAGTAAGGAAAAAGATGCAGGGCATAGTCTCCTGGGAGAGAGACTTTCAAGTAAACATTATTTTAACCAGTTTAAATTAAAATAATATTGACTGAAATACCCTTACTAAGTCCTGAAGAGATTAAAACCAAAACGGCCCTAAAGCCTCATGATCTAATTTCTTCCCAAGTGCATGTGTATTTGCCCAAGCTGTTATAATTTGAGTGGTAGGTACAACATCAACACTAGCTGATTTCTAAAAATAAAAAATATTTTTAAGAACAAATACTGCATAGTGTCACTGTTGTAAAATGGGACTGACATAGAGGTTGGGGGGAGCCTAAGAAAAGAGGGGATAAGTAATGTATACTGCATTGAGACAGATGAGGGAGAGAACTGTTTAAAAGGAATATATGACTAGGTATTATTTTCAAGACAGATTCCAGAAAAAGAAATGCATAGTAAAATGGACTGTGTACTTGGGGGAAAGAGAAATTGTATAACAACGAAAGAATTTTTTTTCTTTTAAAGAGAAAAGCAAACTTGGGAGAAGGGGTGGGCAGGGAGGAAAATGTTCAACAATGAATGAATGGGGGGGAAATGAAATGGGAAGAATATGCTATAAAAATAAAATAAAATATTTTTAATAAATGAAAATGAAATAACCATGAATTAACACTTGCAGAAGGAGCTCTAAACAGGACATTTTACAGTCTTAAATGCTTCTGTTAGAAAGGTAAATGGATTGTTAGAAAGCTGAGCACAAACATCAAAAGGCAGAACAAGAACAGTAATACCAAAATATACAGATGGAAGGAAATAATAAAGTTAGAGCAATCAATGAAATATAAAACAAACGTGCAATGCAAAATTTTAATAAAAACCAAAATCTAGTTCTTTAAAAACTCATTGAGCAGTTATGACAGATAAAGGCAGAGAAGTGACGTAGTAGTGGGCTCCAGAACCTTCTATCTGGCTGAGGCCCAGCCTTGCCACCTACCAGCTGCACGGTTTTGGGTTAATGTATGGCTGTCATTGGAGGAGACACAGCTCAAAACCTAGACTATTGAATCCTTATGTCCATAAGCATGCTAAATGGTTTTCTTTACAATAGGAATATACGAATTGTGTAGTCTGTCATAACAAAAAAAAATTACGAGGTTTTCAGAAACTATTGACTCTTAAGAGTTAAAATTCAACACTAGGCCTTTCCAACTCCCAAGTCTTCCCTCAACCTCCATGCTCACCTACAAGAGAAGGGAGAAATCCCTATGGCATCACACACACATCTCCTAGGAAAATATCTCCGTTAAGGTGGCGTGAAAAGAAGACAGGCAGACCCCCGTGCCCAGCAAGTTCCTCTGTCTCTACTGATGGTGATTCTGCAGAAGAAGCACTAACTTCATTACGCACTTAGATTGTGCCATGCATAATGCGAAGATCTCTCATTCCTCACAACATCCCTTTCCCAGGTTCTGTTACTGTCTAACAACACAGATGAAGGTTTTAAGGTTCAGAGAAGTGACGCTCACACAGCTAAAAACTGGCAGAGGCAGGACCTCAAGGCTAACACCAGAGCTTATATCCTCACTAAACTCCTGGTTCCCTATTACTTCAGCCATCAAGTTGGGATAGCAACACCCACTCAAAAAATTCAGAAAAGAGACAAGGTAGATAAAGCTCCTGGAAGAAGACATGGTATTCAATATGTGCTGATGAGGATGATGATGGGGAAGACAGACAAAGCAGTAGTGGAAACAATGATGGTTGTCGCTTTTACTTGCAAAGATGGATATCTGAAAGAACCTTACCCTCCCCTAATGCTTCCAGAATATCTTACTGCATAAAATCCTCAAAAAAGACATTTTTCCTTCCATTTAAATCATGCAAATTTTTAAGTGGCCAAATCGCTTATGCTCTATATGAAAGCTTATTTTCAAAATCAAAACCACAGCATCTCACATTATCAGAAGATAGGGAGAAAAGTATTTAAAAGAATTCTGACAAATAAAACTGTAGAAATTGGGAGGGTGTGGTGGGAAGAACACCTCATTATCCAATGCAGTAAGTCCAGCCTTGAGCTTAATTTTTCCAAATTCTCAAGATAACACAGTATAAAAGACCAATTAATCAGCTTGTGTTTGTTCTCCATGCGTGAGTCACTGTTGCCATCTACAGGTGAACGTAGGGCATGCAAGCCTGTCAAACAACTGATTCTTAGCACAGGGTCCTGGAAATGTGGGGTGGGGGGAGTGTCTGAGCAAACACACTTGTGCAGGGAGGACTTTAAATGAACATGTGAAAATGTTACCTGAAGAAGCAGCTCTTTTTCCACCACCTCCTCAGTCTTGCTGATGAGACGCTTTTGCAGGGCGTGGATTTTCTGTATCAGCTCATAGGTACTGGGGTCACTGGCCTGCCCAAGGGGAACAAAGAAAAGTAGCTGAGAGGTCATCAATTCATGTTCATATGTGTAGCTTGTAAACCTCCAGACCCAATAGAGAGAGAATTAGAAGCAAAAAAAAGAAATGTGTTCTGTATGGAGTGGTCATAAGCACCATGCCCCCTAAAAGAGCAGACTGCAGTTTTTCTCTGTTTCTACCACTAAGGTGGGAGGAATATTTTTATTTCACCAGTGGGAATAAATATATCCCGTTATCACATGATGCCTGGTTCTCTGCAACCATCGAGACTCCACGCTAAGTGCCTCTCCTCATGTTAGCCTCGTGACAGCCCTATGAGACAGTATGGATCTCCTTTTTACAGTTAAGGCAACTGAGGCTCAGAGAAGGCAGTCAACCAAACTGGGTAAAGTGGTGCTGGCTTTGAGCTGGACACAAGCTCAGGTACACCTAGCTCCGTTAACTACTGTGCTTGGAAGTTGACGCTATCATCACCACTCTGCGGGAACAAGGCAGGGTTCCTGAGTTCGCTCAGCCTTGGGATTCTCCTCTGGTAACTGTCAACAGAAGATCCATGGCAGCCAGCGATGAAGAAGGTTTGTGGACTTGGACTTCAGTTACTAATTGGCAGCAGAACACAACCATGACACTCACTCTCAAATGGAGCCATCAATCTGCTTCAGACGGAGGGCTTTGATGCCCCTTCAATAGCTATCTGTGTACAATTCAAACGAGATCGACAGTTATAAATTGAGCATTTGTCCTCTAGACTTGATCCAAAGCTTTCCTTTCAACTGTCCTGACAATTTTAATTATTCTTGCAGCCACATATTTTCAACGGCCTCCCAGAGTTTCTGTTTTCTAATATTTTAATAGAAATTGACATGGAATTGAATGTTTTAATGATCCGCTTGAAAACACATAAGATAAACTGATGTGACAGTAAATGGATTTTTAAGATCTCCAGTCTGACTTCCCCAGACACATCCATATTATGGTTGGTTTTGTAGACTACAGTATTCTTGTGATTTGGAAGAGGAATAAATAAAGGTTGGGGAGGGGAGGGGGGAGGATCTATTCCTTGGCTTCTGACTTTGCTTAAATTCTAAGTAGCACCAACTGATATCCATAGATTTGGACTAGATTTGGCACACATTTACTTGGCAAGGCTGCATGTTGTTAAAATTCAGGCCTCATCTTTACATAACAATTTATAATGCATTATTCTTTAATGCTTTCTTCATGGAGAAGAAAAATCTACAAATGAAAAACAAAAACCCGCATGGCTGATTTCCCCCTTTATCCTGCTCTCGCCTATGTTTTTATCCCAAGCCCTAACTGTTCATTTATCAGAGCCCCTGCAGGCACCCACTATTATTAATATGGACCCAGTGAAGGGAGATGGTCACCTCTTCCTTAGATGAGCAGAGGTAGTGGCAATGCCTGACAAGAAGTCACAAGAGAAAAACTGAGTTTATTTTCCATCCCTCACCAGTGGGACTTGGGATAGGTATCCAGAGTCTTAAATGAAAGGGGTTTGATTAACAAATACTGCAGGTATTTTGAAAGTAGTTCTTAAGACCATATTGCCTGCAGGAAATAAAATGATGCACAGAAAGATGGTAAAGATGCTGAAGGCTGATAGAGCTGAAGGCAATGTCATCTTTATCCTCATTGCCATCCAGCTGGAAATCACAAGCCTGAAGATAGACCATTTGTCTCCTAGTCACTGGGGCATCCAAACAGCCAGAGAGGCACCGTTTTTAGGTTAACACTACAACTCTCTGGACTACACTACTAGAGTTCCATAGTTCAAGGCTAATGAGCAGCAAGAGGATAATCAATTGGCCAAAAGTTACCAAAACAAAACAAAAAGTCAGTTGGTGAAGCCAGTGATAGGTGTTGGAATATCACTGAATCATTTTAAGCAGAAATATTCAAGATGCTTGAAACAAAATTCTAGTGAACAATTTGGATGTGGAGCTATCCAATTTACTTTTGATCCAGCCTTACATTTTAGATGGTGATCAGTGTAGAATTTAGATAAAACCATGCTTCTTACTGCATTTTGGGCTGGGAACTGTGCGTGTGGGGCACAGAAAGAGATCTGGGTGTGGAAAGAAGGAAGGCTCTGCTAGATGTACCTCAAGCTTCCTCCATCTGTGCACGTTCATGGGGTTTTCCAGTTCCTCCTCCAAGGCTCGGCACCGGGTCCTCTCCTTCAGGAATTCCCTTTGCATGTGATAAAGCTCCTGCCTGAACAAGACAAAATTTTGTATACAAAGAAATTCTCTGCCACATGATACCTTCAAATAGTGATGTACAGAGTAAGTCTTAAATTTGAAAACAAAAACAAAACCCATCTGTTGCTGTCAATTCCGAGTCAGGACAACCACGTGGAATGAGGAACCATAAGGTTTCTGAGGTTGCAGTGCTTTTTACTATTGGTTTGCATACAAGAATTTGTTCACATTGTATTTCACTCATGTACATTGTGTTTGTTTGTTGCACCACCTCCCTCCACCCACCAAGATCGGGAATCCCTGTGATTCTCCCCTCCCCACCATCAGACCCCATCCCCCCATTCCATCTTTGGATATCCGTATACATCTTACTGGTTATCCTACTGCTTTTACAACAATGGACCTTTGCAGTATTTGTCCTTACGCACCTGAGTTAGTTCACTCAGCATAATGCTCTCGAGCCTCCCTCATGTTATGTAGTATTTTTAAAAATTGTTACTCCTGAAGGTTGCATAGTATTCCATCATGTGAATGTACCATAATTTCTCATTCCAGTCATCTGCTGATGGGCATTTGGGCTGTTATATTTGTTTATCCTTTTGACAGTCCATGGTATCTTCAGTACTCGTCTCCAAAACCACAAGTCAAAGGCATCAATTTTTCTTCCATCATCCTTAGTCATTGTCCAACTTACAGAGGCATAGCAAATAACTGAAAAGACCATGACTTGAAGCCGGGGCACCTTGGTCTTTAAACTGATATCATTGCTCCTAAGAACTTTGGCAAGGTCCTTTACAGCAGATTTTACCAAAGTGAAACAGCTTCTGATCCCTTGACTGCTGGTACCAAGGGTACTGATTGTGGATCCAAGTAAGATGAAATGATTGACAACTTCAGTCTTTTCTCCACCTATCATGATGTTGCCGATTGGTCCAGTGTTGATTTGTGTCCTTAATGTTGAGATGCATCCATATTGAAGGCTGCATTCCTTGATCTTCTACAGCAGGTATTTCAATCCCTCTTCACTTTCAGTAAGCAAGGTCATCTACATAACACAGGTTATTGATGAGTCTTCCTCTAGTCCTACGGCCACATTCCTCTTCATAAGGTCCAGCTTTTCAAATGATTTGTTCAGTGTGCAGATTAAACAAGTGTACAGATTAAACAGAGAAAGGATACAACTCTGATGCAAACCTTTCTTGATTTTAAACCACGCCATGTTCTCCTGTTCTGTTCACACAACAGCCTCACGGTCAATTGTGGGGCAGCTCTGCTCTGCCCGGTGTCAGTACGAAATAAGATTGACTTTGCAGCAATGGGTTTGGTGTCTGGTCTTCGTGGTGGTATTTTTGTCTGTTTTGGGAGCACTAAAAACAGCCTCTTCACCTGACCAAGACACGGATGCTATCAATTTTTGCAGAGCTCCAACTTGAGCTGTAGCTTTTAAAAGACAATAATGCCAAGGCTCAGAATTCTGCCTTTGAATATGTTAGGAATTTGAAGTGCACAGGGGGAACTGAGAGGGGCTGACCTTTGACCATTTCAGTCTATTTTTTTTTAATCTCTCTAGTCCCAGCAAGAATCTATATTCCACTCAAATTCTGACATCTGACCGCATGTATGGATGCTCGGATGATAACCTGGCATCAATTAGGACACTGCCTCTCCACCCTGACTACACATTACAATCACCTGGGGGGCTTTGAAATCACTTTTACCTGTGTCCAACCGCTAGAGGCATTCTGCTTTAATTGCTCTGGCATGGGGCCTGGGCTTTGAAAGCGTAGAAGTCTTGCAGGTCATTTTAATGGGTTGCCAGGACCAGGACTCACTGAGTTAGGAGACAATGTTTTTATCTCATGTTCTACAGCTATCCAGACGACTAAACATAGTCCTAAAAAACCAGCTCTGGGTCTCACATCCTTCTGAAATCGACAGGAATCTCCAGTTAAAAAGTAACATGCTACAGTCATCTTCTGAGTTCCCACCACCCCCCTGAATGAGACGCTTCGCCAAAAGGGCTGAGGAGAGGTAAACACTTGCACTGACATGGGCAACGGGGATCTGATTATCTATCCTCCTCTGCTGTAGCTGTGCAGATTACCAAAGCTAAGCCATCTCTTTTACTTAATTGCTTCATTTAAACCAATAATACAACTTCCCCTCATTAGCAAGACAAACCATTAGAATTTACTGCATGATGTTCCCCCAACAGGGAGCTCCGAACAAGCTGCTTAAAATTAAAAGCACATTTTTAACACTTCACTTTTCCAAAGTGTCATCAAGAAGAGCAAACGTATCAGCCTCTGTTGCTGATGGCTCGTTTGTGGGCTAGACTCTGTGCTTGGCAGATCACATTTGCTGTCGTATTTCATGCCAACTCCAGCTCCAAAGCTCAGAGAAGTCAAGTAACGTGCCCAAAGTCACACAGCGCGTGTGTGGTAAGCGGGAACTCATACCTGCTTGCTTCCAATTTTTAGTAAATTGGCTTCTGACTGAAAAGAAAAATATTTTTCCAACAAACTAGCAATATTAATCAGGAATGGGTAAAACCTGGTTCTTTGTGCACATAATAAAAAGGGCTCCTGACTGCAAGTTGAATCATAGTCCTGGAGATCATGTAATAGTTCTAGAATAAACCTATTTGTCTCCAAAACATTAATCATATCTCCAGGTAGCAAAGTTACAAAGGAGTTTCTAATCCCTCTTTTATATGTTTTCTGCATTTCCCACATTTTCTGCAATGAATTTATATTACTTTCATTATCTGAAATACAAGCAACTCCTAAAGTATCTATATTGATCCATCCTTGATAATGGCAACTATTCCTGAATATACTCTCTGTGTCAAAACATCAAAACTCTTTTCTAATCCAATTGATTCGAGAGGCAGAAGCAATCTGGGTCCTTGGCCCAAAGTGGTCAAGGAGGCTGTTCATTTGCAAGTCTGGAGGGAACTCTACTGAGAAACCGCCAGCCCTCTTGTTTGGTCTCATGCAATGGCCTGTATGGAAGCACGGTGATGTTTTCCCAAAGGGGACGTAAGATCTTGTGTAATGCAAGCTTTAAAGAAAGGAAAAGGCGCACGTGGAGGTAGAGGAAAAACTGTGGGAGATAAATCAAAAGTGAGATAGAAAAATAGGCTGCCTTGTAAGGAAATAGAGTTTTCAAACAGTGATAAAATGAAAATTTTCACCTCCTCTCATTCTGTATGCAATTCTAAGGAAAGGATGTGCAAATGTTACCAGGATTACACTTAAATATTGATGCTCCACCTCTTGCCTTGTTAAAGAAAGTCTAAAGAGCTCATTGGGGAAACATATTTTCTGAATAGTAACTAGTTGGTGTTTGTGATCTGATTAAAAATTGCTTTTTTGAAATCCAGAACAGAGGTCTTTTTAAGTCTTTCTGCACTCGTACTTCCCCTGGAAAGGAATCTAGACTATATTTGCAACATAACATGAACACAATTATTTGCTAAAAATGTCTTCACATGAAAGTTGGTTTTTATGCAACCTGATGTGTTGTTGTTACGTGCCATCGTGTCGCTTGCGACTCACAGTGACCCTATGTACAACAGCCCTACACTCTGCTCTGTCCTGTGCCAATCGCACTGTCTCTGACACTCCCATCCCAATTACCCCAGTCACTGAATCAATCCACCTCATAGAGGGCCTTCCCCTCCTGCGCTGTCCCTCCACCCTACCAAGCATGATGTCCCTCTCCAAGGACCAGTCCCTCCTTACAACATGTCCAAAGTATGTTAGACAGAGCCTCAGAATCCTTGCCTCCAAGGAGCAGCCCGTTTTAATCCTCTCCAGGATGCATCTGTTTGTTTTCCTAGCAGTCCATGGTACCCTCCAAACTCTTTTCCAGTACCACAGCTCAAAGGCGTCAATTCTCCTTCTATCCTCCTTAGTCATTGTCTAATTCTCTGATGCATAACAAGTGATAGCAAAGATCATGGCCTGTATCAGACACACCTTAGTCTCCAGAGAGACACTATTGCTCTTCAGCACTTTGGAGAGGTCCCTAATAGCAGACTTTCCCATCTTAATACATCTTTTAATTTCCTGGCTGCTGGTGTCAAGAGTGTTGACTATGCAACCTGATAGAGCCTATCAAAGGTGAGTCATCCTGAAGAGGTGGTGACTTTGGGAGCTCCAGGCCGACCCCCGAGCTCTCAGCCCCCGTGGCCTCCATGTACCTGAGTTCCTCCACATTGGCCACGCTCCTGGCTAGGATCTCCTTCTCCCGGCGCAGCTTCTTGATCTCGAGTTTGAGCAGCCTCATGTCCACCATCCTCTGGTTGTACTGGCTCTCCACCTTGTTCAGCACCGACTGCTGGATCTTGATCTTCTCGTAGAGCAAAGCCAGCTCGTCATTGCGCCGAACCAGCTGAGACCCCAAGATATCTCTCTCGCTGACCACCTAGAAAGACGAGGGAGACCATGGCAACAGCTGTCACTCAGTGAAGTACTAATGCAATGCCCAAATATCCAGGCACCAGGAGGTGGGCACTGGGCAGAGCCAGATACACAAGACACACAGGGCTTCACCCATCACATCAGACAGTCCCACTGCAAAGAGAAGGGGTACAACAAAGAGACCACAGTGGCCACCTTTTCCAGCACCTGCTTTTTAAAAAATCTCTCCAAGTTTAATAACTTCATGGTACACCAGCCTTCGCCAAGCTACACCACTTCTGATTGTCCTCCTCAAAAAAACTTCACGTTTTTCTAACCTGCCAGATCCCTGAACATGCTTGTGTGTCTACCCATCAATTTATGCCAATTACCTGATTATTAATTACTATTGTATACGAGCAATGAGAGTGTAAGCTTCCTGGGAACATGAGTTGTCTTGGTCTACCAGCATACTCCACGCCTCGAGTAGTGACTAACAAGGTTAAGTGCTCCTAAATAGTTGAGGTTGCTAGGTGTCAGCTTGACTCCAACTCACAGGGACTCTATGGGTATCGGATCAAAACCCTGACTGATCCCTCTGAATAAATGAATGACTATTTCAAAATTAATTGGCAGGAGGTGGGCCCCTGCCACTCTCTTTCCCATAGCAGTGGTTAGGAGAGCTTGAGTAATAATGAGGGTTAGGGTGAGGGGTGACACCAGCATTTGCATCTGCTGGGAAGTGTAGGGGTTTGCGGGGCGCCTACCTGGTCTAATTCTTTCTTCTGTCTCAGCCTCTCCCCATCGGCCTCAGCAATGATTCGCAGGAGTTTTCTCTCTTCTGCCTCTTGCTTTTCAATGAAGTGTTTGGTCTCCAGGGCTTGTTGTCTCAGCTTCTGTAGCTCTGCCTGACAACGAGTGAGAGATGCAGATAAATTTCACCTGGTAACCGCACAGACCGGGACTGCAGGGCCCGGATCTCCATGGATGCCTGTGCTTTTCTTATTTCCCTCTGCTGTTGCGTTTAACACGGTTCCGTCACTCTCACAAACAAAACAAGTTCAGCGCACATACAAAAGCTGGTAAAGAAACATGACAGTGATCATGCTTATTCAGTGAAGCGTGTGCCCTTGGGGGATTTCGATCATTTGCTGTGTATGTATAGCAGGGGTATACAACAGCACTTCATCCCTTACCAGTTAAACACAGAGAAAATGCACAAACACTAGCACTGAGGAGTAAGTGGGGCGAGGACACAGTTCCAATAATGGTCCTCACATCATGATGAATGGCAGAGATAAAGCCCCGTGCAAACAAAAATCAAATTGGTGAAAAGTGACAACCAAAAAAGAAAAAAAAGGAAAGAATCAAGTATCCATTTTTTTAAAACATTCAAATGGAACATGTCATGTTAGAAAAGGTAAGGGGGTGTGTGTGTGTGTGTGTGTGTGTGTGTGTGTGTATCCTGCCACCAAGACACTACCAATTCAGATGAGAAGACAAACTTAATATTATTCAAATATTAATCACAGATAAAATACTTTCAGCATTCTTTTTATCACTGGTACAATGATTTGATGTTACAGGAGGTCATAGGAAAACCCACCACTGGAGTGGGCTTGTCAAATGCTTCCCAGGAGAGGTCAGACTTGAGTCCATCTTTTGGAGTTCATGGAAGAAGAAATGGAGAAAGACTATTATGGTCTGGAAGGTTCAGAATGAAGATCCCTCTCCATCAAAAAGCATATTCACATTGATTCCACAAGGATGTTCTTTACCTTAAGCATGATACTGGGCATTTTGCATTAGTGTAGCATCACTTTGAAACTGTCAACAACTTCATCGTGCTCGGATCCACAATTAATACCCTTGGTAGTAAGCAGTTGGAAAATAAGGAGATGCATTACACTGGAAAACCTGCAGTTAGGGATCTCTCCACATTGTTGAAGAGTATTGTCAGTTTGAGGAGTAAGGTGCTTCTGACTCAGGCCATATTCTTTCTGATCACTTGCTATGCATCTGAGAGCTGGACAAGGAATAAGGATTACAGAAGAACTACTGATGACTTTGAGCTGTGGTGTTGGAGAAGAGCTCTGAACAGCCCATGGATGGCCAAGAGAACAAACAACTTCTTGGAGATGGTGCAGACAGAGTGCTCTTTGGAGGCAAGGATGATGAGGCTTTGGGCATGTTGCTGGAAGGGGCTACTCCTTAGAAAAGGACTTGATGCTAGGTAGGGTGGAGGGTGGCAAAGAAGAGGAAGACCCTCAAGCAGGTGGACTGATGTGGTGACTGTTGCAATGGGCTCTAGTGCGTCAGGAAGTGTGAGGATGGCTCAGGACAGGACTGGGTTCAGGTCTTTTGTTCATAGGCTCTCTGAGTCGTACTCGACTCGATGGCATCGAACAACAACAACATAGCACCACTGAAAGAGAGGAAGGCCTTCAATGAGATGGATTGATACAGTGGCTGCAACAATGGATTTAATCACAGCAGAGATTGTCAGGATGGTGCAGGATCGAGCTGGGCTTCTTTCTGTTAGACAAAGGGTCTCTGCCCGTTGAAACCAACCTGACACCACAATGACATCCCCATTTCACAAATACACATAACCAAAAAAAGCTCAGTAACTTACACAAAGTCAAACAGGTGGTTTAGTATCCAACTGGAGGCTCTAAGTCAGTTCTTTTGATTCCAAAGTCTACACTACATTGTTTTAACTCTTTTGTTCCTTTTTTTAAAAATTAATTTCAATGAACATTTACAGAGATTTGGGATTTCCATTCATTCATTGTTGCACTTTTCTCCCTGCCCAGCCCTCCCCCACCCAGTTCACTCCTCTCTTTGAAAAGTAAAAGGAAAATTCTTTCACTGGTAAACAATACCTTGCCCTACGCTCCTCCCCCCCGCCCCCCGCCGAGTATACTCCACTCTGCAACCTTCATTCCAGACTCATATGATAATCATAATACTATATAATATATTGCTTTTAAACTGTTCTCTCTCTCATCCGTTTCAATACAGTATACATAATTCATCCAATTTTTCTCATTCTTACCCCAACCCTGATGTCAGTCCCATTCTACAGCAGTGGCACTATGCAGTGTTTGTCCTTTTGTGGTGGGTGTGTGTGTGTGTGTGTGTGTGTGTGTGTGTGCCGTCAAATCAGATCTGACCAGTACAGGAGGAGATTGTCCCTCCTTTCCTGGCAGAGCATCTGGTGGATTAGAACCATGAGCCTCTGGGATTGTAGTTGCAGCTCCTTGCCACTAGGCCACCAGAGCTCCCCGTGTTTGTCCTTTTGTGACTGAGATATTTCATTCAGCATAATGTCCTCCAGGGTCACCCATTTTGAATAATATTGCATGAGTTCCTTGTTTTTCAATGCAACTTAGTATTCCATTGTGTGAATATACCATAGCTTCTCCATCCATTTACTTGTTGATGGGCACTTAGGTTGTTTCCAACTCTTTACTATTGTGAAGAGAGCCACGATAAACATGGGTGTGGATATATCTGCTTGGATGTCGGTTATGGTCTCTTTGGGGTATATTCCCAGGAGTGGAATTGCTGGGTCAAATGTTATCTCTATTTGCAACTTTTTGAGAAAGCGCCACACTGCTTTCCACAGTGGTTGCACTTCCATCAACAGTGAATAAGGGTTCCAGTCTCTCACAACCTCGTCAGCATTTGTTGCTTGCTGTTCTGTTAAATTTTGCTATTCTGACTGGGGTGGGATGATATCTCATAGTTGTCTAACTCTTACAGAGAAGATGAATAAGATGACAGATAGGTAGGTAGAAAATAGATAGATAGATAGATAGATAGATAGATAGATAGATAGATAGATAGATAGATAGATAGATAACAGATAGATAGATCTGCTAATAAACTATACCACTCTGTGGAAATGTTGCGTACCTATATAAAACAGGAACAGGAATATAAATAGGTCTTCTATTTCTGCCCAGAGTTTAAATGGCCTCAGCAGTCAATGAATACTTCCAAAATAAAGGAATATTCACTAGAGAGAAGAGCATCAAGAGGTAGATTTCAAAGAGCTCTGGTGGCCTAGTAGCAAGAAGCTGTGCTATAATCATAAAGGCATGCAGTTCGAATCCACCAGGTGCTCTGCTGGAGAAGAAGGAGCAATTTCCTCCTGTACCAGTCGGATCTGATTCAACAGTATACAACAAGAGGGGAAAAAAGAAGAGGTAGGCTTACCTGAACAAAAGGATGCAAGCTTTAGCCCCTTTGTGACCACCATAGCAGGTAAGTCCTACTTGCCGTTGTCTGTTGTTTTCCTGATATCTTAGAATGCTAGTGACCCACTTCCCGTAGGTCCTGCTGGATTTCTGGTGCTGCCAAACCATTGTGTTCTTGTAAGAGATGATATATCCTGGATGCCTGATTGTGTAAAACTTTTGTCTCTTGGCTTTTGTATAGCAAGGTAAGCATACCTGTGATTTCTTGTGTGTTATTTGGAAGTTCCGTTTTGTGTGTGTGATGCTTTAATCATCAAGCAAACCTGCTTTCAGGTGCAATGCATTATAAGTAAACATGCATTAGGCCATTCTTGGCATGCCATATATACACTGCTTGCAATCACCAAGGACTTCTCTCACAGTTTATAAGCTGTTGATAGTTCTTATGCAATAAAAATAAATTTATTTGAGTCATAATTCCTCCAGGACATTGACTCTTCTTGCTGTTTGTGCACAAGTGGGTGAAAAGTATGCAGTTCCTCCTCTCATGTGTTCACTGACTAGTTTGGAGGTATGGCAATTGATAAGAACTGATTTTGGAAAAGCCTTCATTCTTTTTTTCTGAGAAAAATCCTTCTTTATAAGCAAATTATTTGAGGGGAAAAATATCTAGATAATTTCTTTACTGTACCTAAGAATGAGAAGGAAACCTGAGAAGACAAAGATATCTCAGTTGAGCTCCATCTTTGTGGAATCTCTCACCCAGTAGAATGCACTTTTGTTTCAGTAATATGTCAAAACTACTCAGACTCGGCCCATGAAAATACAGAAGTAGATTCATTTTTGTGAGTGTTTGTAGAAAAGCTTTTGGAAATTTTGATGACATGCCGTGAACCACCACGAGAATAAATGGATCTGTCTTAGAAGAAGTGCATCTAGGGTTTTTTAGACATTAAGATACTGAGACTTTGTCTCACATACTTTGGGCATGGTATCAGCAGGGGCCAGCCATTAGAAAAAGACACCATGCTGGAAAAAGCAGAGGATCAACAAAGGAGAAGAAGATCTTCAATGAGAGGGATTGACGCGGTGACTACAACAATGGACGTCAGCCCGGCAGAGATTGTGAGGATGGCCTAGGATTGAGAAATGCTTTGTTCTGTTGCACACAGGCTCACTAGGAATCGGAACCAGCTGGATGATACCCAACAAAATAAAATGAATCTTTGTGTGACCCAGGAACCAACAACATGAGACAGACGTTAGGAGATGAGAATTCCATGTAAAAACTGGCAGCCTATGCCAGAGAGGTGAGAAAGACCTTCACTGTTGTGTATATACTGACTGATGGCTATACACACCTTGCCATAGCTAGTGGTCCAGTGAGCCCTCTTGGCCATTATTACTGATCTTATTTCAAAAGTCCAGTGAGGAATATGTGTTCCACATAACTTTTTTTTACTAGTTTATTTACAAAATTTGAATACAAATTCGAACAAATTCTTTCAATTTCTCTCACCCCCCCATCAAATTGTACAATCCAATGACTAATCCCCTCGTCCCCCTGTACATCCACATCCCTCTGCTTCCAGCCTCTCCCACCCCTCCTGGATCCTTATACTCATTCTAAAATAAGCGTCTTATACAATATTTATCCTTGTGGGACTGAGTTATTTCACTCAGTATAATGCTCTCCAGTCCCT